GAGGTATTTTGGTCAATTGTTTTTATGTAAATTTTTTTTTTTATATAATTTTCGAAGATTCCCCTATTTTTGATGGATACACGCTTCAAATTAAAGGTCATTCTGATTTGTAGAAAAAAAATGAAAAATAAAACATTACCGGACAATCGTGACCGTGCGGGAAACTTTGGACAGTGATGGAGATAGGCAAAAATCACTGTTCATTTTCACCTATAGACGTTGCGTAGTGTTTTAATATATATATATATATATTGATGTTTTTGACTCTGTCCATATTTGATTTGACCCTGTGCATTTTACACAATATCCATCTTAATGATTGATGTTGAAGAGTCGTGGAACAATTTTCCTAGAGACAAAAGGAAAGAAAATGAGGATGAAAGAACCTGATTTCCTACTTTGGTTGGTGCATACTATGTATTTGCTTCCTCAGGTAAAACCCAAGGTAAAAGTATTTTTTGGATTCTAAATTGGGATGGTCTACAAAGAGACCATTTGTTTTTTTATACATAGAGGTCACAATCATTCACATCCATTAGATGTCAAAGTGGATGGCTTGGGGTGAGTCAAGAATTCCAAGAATTTTTCTTCGAAAATTTGTATCTCATCAATGACCTTCTTACAACTACCCATTTTAAAATTTAAGGGACAAAAATAACCGCTTATACAAAAGATAAATTGGTGTCTTTATAGACAATCCCTTCTAAATTTGAAAAAGTGGCTTCTTTAGCTAGTGACCTGAAATTCAAATTAATGACGTAATCTCTTGGACCTAGGGACTAACCTCAAATTCAAACATAGTGCAGTTTATGACCCTTAGAACCTAAGAACTCAAATTTCATTTATTTTAAGATAGTGACTATTAGGTTAATCCACCATTTTAGACTTGAGGTGCTCTTTTGATCCAAAAGTCAAATTTTTTTTTTCTTCTTTTGAGGTGCTCTTTTGCTTGAGGGAATTGGTGTACACTATGCTCAGGCAGGAGCATCGTACATACGGTGACCAAAGAATAAGAGAAGTAGCGAGATTTACCAACATCATTATATGAATTTGGGCAAGATTTATTATTACTTTGACAACTTGAATATGCAACTCTTTGTAAATCCCAGCTAGCATTGTAGGGACGATTAACACAAGCTCACATCCAAAATGGTTTGATAACAAGGGAACCAGGGTTGCTAAAGCTAAGTTTGTTTGATGCCAAGGGAACTAGGTTTAATGAAGCAGCTTTTCGCTCAAACTTCAGCTTAGCGACAGACATATCAGTTGGGTTGAGGGAGGTCAAGGGTTAAAATCCTTAGAAGTTTGTCCAAAGAACCAAACAGAATTGACCTACTCCTTTCTTCTATTATAATACTTTGATTTTCCACGTCCAGTGGTTTAAATTACGAAATAACTAAAGTTGTACACGGTAGAACTTCTTTTTACAACAATGGGTCAAGACATAAGTGGTCAGAGCGGTGCAAGAACATTGATGGTGCTATAGAGTCTAGGAAGCTTTTTGTACAACACTTGAACTTGGTACTCAATTGATCTCGATCGTAACGAAAAAATTTACATGATAGATATACATCTTATAGAGCGACCATGTGACTTGCGTATTAGAGTTGATCTCCCAGAATTTCATAGTCCAGCGTGTTCATCGATTGCATATGGTGCTTCTTTGGAACTGGGTATATTTTTTATTAGGAATAATCAGATCAAACTCGTATTCAACAGTTACTCTTGGAATACAATCGTGAAATTTATGTTCCTTGATGCGCCAGTTAGCGTATGCTATTCATGCAATAACAAAAGTGAAGAAAAGGTGCCGAGGTGCATTGTGGAATTACATCACCAATTCGTGATTGGCTTCAAGCTCGAGGTCGAGCTTCTCTCAACCATCGGATAGTGATGTAAATAAAAATTAGGAAAAATTCAAAATTATAATTTCATTATTTTTTGAATTTATCTTTTAGGAATGAGGATTTTGGTGTGTGAGTTTTATTAGGGCCTAAGTTTTAACCCCGGAGGGCTCATCTTTTGGTTTATAAAATAGATATTTTAAGATAAGTATAGATTTATTTATTTATTTTAAGAAAGAGAAGATAACATGATATTTAAAGAGATCTATATGTGGTAAAAGGCTATTAGGTAGGATAAACATGAAAGATAGATAAATACGGGAGAGTCCAAAAGTCGTTAGGAGTTTAGTGAGAGACATGAGGAAAGAGAGAAATAGAGTCATGAAGAGAGAGAAAATAAAGAGCTTGAGGAAAAACGCGGAAGTTAGAGAAAGAGTTTTATAATTTTTTTTTTTCTTCTAAAGTTTATTTAAAGTGAGATGACCATTCATTGTAAATAAGAAAATGCTAATTGAGTAAATTTGATAATGTGAAAATATCTCTTTTTGATATGAATTCTCTTGTAGATTTTGAAAGAAGGTATATTCTTTTAAATATTTTTTTATTTTTATTGTTATTATTCCAGTTTTTTTTTCTCCGTGCATCACCTCCCAATTCAAATCGTTTATTGCGAACCTCAGCCTAGCTGAACAAAATTGAATCTCCCAATCCATAGCTTTGAAGCCTGTACAATATTGGAACTCCTCACACCAGAGGACACACCAATTGACAATCAAAACACTATATTTCTGTGCATTTTCTTTGTGGTAATGGTAGCGTTTCAAATCTCAATTAGGCTACGGTACCCAGCCCTTTGGCAAGAAGAGTTAACTCGAGTGAGTCCGAATTGACTCGCTCAAGTCCTGCAAACGCAAAAACCTTAGAAAAAGTAAAAAATATATGAAAAATAAAATAAAGATAGTAGAAGTAAAATAAAACCAAATTCAACCTTAAAAACTCCAAATAATTATAAAAACAATATAGAAAAATGGATCTTAAAAAAAACTGATTTATAGATGGGGAGATTTTAAAAACAATTCAAAATAATAGAAACTATAAATATGGAGATTATGGAAAAAAATACTCACCAATCATTTTCCAAAACATCCAAATAATATGAAAACTTTATATGCCATTCTCAAATTTTATATAATTTTTAATACTTATTTAAATATTTTTGTGTACTCCCAAGTTGTACATACAGCTTGGCCGAGTCTGAGTCCAAGTGGACTCGGCGGGGACACGAAATACTAGTAATGGTAAATCCTGAAATATGCTCAATTTGATCAGCAACTTGAAGCCGTTTGTGTAACTTAGGGCTCCCAATAACTTATTATATATGGACAAAAAAAATAAAAGAGAGGAAAATTACGAAATAGACCAATTTTAGGAGAAAATTATGCAGAAGGTTGGTTAATTTATGTTTTTTCAAAATTACCCCTCGGTCAGAGGATTGCATCATCGGTTTGCTTTTTAATTTTAATTTTTTTTTTTTAGTTTTTTCGTTAGTAAGGCAGTTCCCTAGTG